AAAATCCAATGAGTGGTTCTTTAGATATCAGTGGAACAGTCATAGAACAGCTAAAAATTAGCTAATTATCATGCAAATTAGGTAATTAATGAGCATGGATTTTTACCAAAACCTAATCAAATCTGCGCATTGGCCCAGAGCATCTATGCACCAAGTTTCATCAAAAATTGATGTATGGTTCTTGAGATAGCAGTGAAACAGTCGGACACACATACACACATACACACACACATACAGACACACTAACTGCAAAGACTCCCATTTTGTGCTTCGCACATGGGAGTCAACCAGTAAGAATTGAATCAAAGTAATTCTAGACAGTTATATTGGCCTATGTAATGATACAGATACACATTTTTGCTGTATAGAGAGAGAGGCTTGCAATGTTAAATGACACAATATACATCCATGTCATGTGTTCCTAAAATACTGTGCAATACTTTATTTTCACTTGGAATGTGTTCCCACTTTTTTCACTGAGAGGATACAAGTATCAGTGAAAATAAAATCCAGCAAAATATCTTTTTTCCTATATTTTTAACTTGCCACAAATCAGCAAACTGAATACACTTCCAAAACTGCCAAAATGTCTTTTCAGCAAGAATTAATTCGAGCTAAAATAAAGCATTTAACAGTATACATGTACATTACCATGCCAGGACAATTTTTTATTTAAAGATTGATTCAAAAATGATGAATGAAGATACGATAATTTAAGCGAACAATTACGATGTGACTAACCTTTCGAGCTGCGTTGGTAAACATACTTTCCAGATTCCTATCTAGCCATCTTAAGAATGGCCTGAACATCAGATCAACTTTATCTTGTTTTATGTTATCATTGTGTCTTTGCATTATCCAGTCTTCTACCTCTGTATTCATATGTCTGCAATAATACATTTCAAATGTTGTTTTTATTACAATATGCATAGATGATGAGTTTCCTGGTTGGTGGGTTACTGAATGTGTCCGTTGCAGAAAAAGGTTGGGAGTCTGGTGGGGGGGAGGGGTGTTTTAAGCACTCATTCGTGAGTCTGTTTTCACAAGTTATTTACATATCTTAGGCTGTTATTCCTCTGAGATATATCTTACTAAGTACATACGGGTACCAGAAAAATATGTTTGTCTTTTTTAACGAACATTTCATAAAATTTCAAAGTTATTGTAAAATCTGTATTGAAGGTCACATCTCTAATAGAAGTCACACCCATTCTTTTTGAATAATTGAGAACCAAAAATTCATCATTTCTCATATGTGTAGATGCTCTAATAGAAGCCGCATCCCCTCTGTTACATTGTACCATTTTAATAGCAGCCGTGACTTCCAATACATAATCAATATATTCGGTACAAAACTGAAACTAGTATAGTACAATATTTTCCTAGAACTGCGTATTTTTGCTGAAAGATTGTATTTAATCGTCAATTATTGCACCATATGCATAGGCTCTGAACATCATCACATAGTTTGTATCGCATGTCAAAGGTCGTTTTTGCTCATATTACATGAAGAAAAAAAATGTAATTGGCAAATTTAAAAAAGAGTAAAAAGTAAATCAAAGCGAGGCTTCTTACAAGATTGTTCCTGATTGGCTACCCAACACTAATACCTAACAGACAGACCAATCAGAGAACAGCTTGAATAGTTTGATTGTTGAAGTTAGCTCATTTGCGTAAATTTGGTCAGCTCCACAGAACATCAACAAATTCCCATCTATACCCCCCCTCAAATAAAGCTACAAATCAAATTTCACTTCAAGCAGTTTGTTTTCTGCTAAAAAAATAAATAGATATAATTCGTCATGTTTTTTACGTGTCCTGATGACACATATACACTAGTGTACGTCACATACTACAGCACTCCATTTAAACATCAGGCACCTTGACAGACTATCCCAATTTCATTTTGTCACCGCCAAATACCCAATCGTGTCATATTCCATTAAATGCATGAGCAATCGCCGGCAACACATTTTTTTTTTATACCAAGCTGGTACGTAACAAGTACAGCAATCACAAGAAGAAACGCTTTGTTAAACAACTAGCGATGTATGGCCTTTAAATAATTTCATATGCTTTCAATTGGTATTTGTTATAATACACGTCGCTTACAGCTATGAAGACTCAAGAAAATAAGCGTCTGACATTTAGGAATTGGGGAAATCATACACAGCGCTTCTCAATTTCAAGCCTCGGTGACTTCAGTAAGTCTGCTGCATGGTCGCCAAAGCCGAAAAGAAAGAATGGCTTATAAACAAGTGAAGCTTCAATGAAATGATTCAGACATTGAAGCAGATCAACACGTACATTACATAAAAGAAATCACGTAATCTATCTATGCTGTAGAAAAGGAAGGGAGATATTTAAAAAAAAATAATAATTATGGAATAACACAAGAACACCATATGGTTAGACAATTTTCATCACTATTTGTGAAAGCAAATTCAAACGTGGACCTTTTAAAATCAAAATAACAAAAACCATATTCATTCTATTAGTAGCGCAAGTATGCTCACATAAATGACAGAGACATATTGATAGACTAGGAAGTCGTATTTTTATAATATGCCCAAATATGATGCAACAGTTAGGACATGCAGAGGATGCTGGGAGAATACTGTAGTCATGGTTACAAACACATACTTGTAATTGCAGACAGACAAATTTATATTCAAGAAAAATAGCGATTTTTTTTAAAATACATGTACATAGCTTATATACAATCTCCTATTTGGTTTACAAACAATATACAGTATAACCAGTTTTCAATGGGAAATCCAAAATCAGTAAAACCCACTTTAGTTATAATATACTTGTTTCCATTATTCTGAGAATCAATAGACTATTTACAAAATTACAAGTGTTTGGCATAGGATACATACCGATTTTTTTTTTATAATTATAACAAAAATGATTTCACATACATTCCCTCAACTAAATATTACATAATTGTGAAAACAAATTTTTCAAACAATCACTGATAACAAATAAATGTAATATGAATCGTATCACGAAAGTGATTATACCCAAGTTGACACCAATTTTTCACTGATAACGACATATATATTTTATCGTTAATTATCAGTCGGCCCACGGGGGGTTCTGGAAATGTCCCCACAAATAATCAAATCATCTAGTGCTATCAATTTTTAATTTTCCAATTCAGATGAAAACTTTGATTAGGAATTGTACGTTTTGGTTTACTTCACTCACTATTTATCCTATGGGGGAAAAAAATACAAGAAATACTCTCAGGTACCAAGCAATGTAAGAAAACCACCTCTATAGGATATTAACTACTACTGCAAGAATATTGGTTTAGAAAACAAGGGATGTACATGTACATTTTGTACCAGACTATAGTACCAAATATTTGCTTTCTAATACATAGTTAATTAAGTTCAGGTCATTTGTGCAGTATTTAATAATAAATAGGGGTGAAAAAATTTGTTGTTTTAAAATAACACAATTATTGATTAGGACATAAGTTATCAAGTTTCCAATATTTTTTCCCAGCAAGAAATATATTTTTGTATACAAAAAAATTTGAATATTCGCCTTAGGATTTCATGTAAAAAAATTATTTCCCAAAAAAATAAATAGTTTTCATTAGAATTTCCTAATAATTATTGAAAAGCATACCAATTTAATCACAACATATGATTTTTTTTACCGTATTTAACCAAATAAAATTGCCAGACCTTTTTACCATAGAAACCAATTGTAAATGCATGACCAAAATCATCATTTTCATGAATTTTTGGACTACAAAAATTGTATTACATGTAGGGGGGCTTGAAACAAGAAGAGGTTGCTTGCTGTTTGTTTTGGATGAGATGCTGCGATGCTTTTGGTCTGAAACTACAGTTTGAGCAGCCTGCAAGAAACTCTGTACTTTTACTTTACTTTGAAGTTTTATGGAAAAGACTTATTCTTATAGATTAATTTTGTCACAGTCACATGACCTGCTTTCTTAATGATCCCAAACGAAATGTTGGCTGCTAAAAAATTTAGTTTTTTTTCCCCAAATTTTTTTAGTCGTTAACAGTAGTAATTCAGCCATTATCTAATTACAAAGTGGATCAGACAAACTAGTGAATATGTGACAGAAGTGCAAAACTCAGAAAAGACAAACACAGAATCCTTTCATATACGGCGGACTGCATGTTACAAAGGCCAGAGGGTCTTCGCTGAATGCAGGAAATTTGCTGCCATTTCCTCTATAATACTCTATGCTGGAACGATATCAGTTACATTAAAAAAGCGTTAATCTATAATCAGATAAGTTCACCCTGGGGACACTGAATAAGGGCTGTATATTTTTTTTTATGGTAGATGGTAAGCAAAATGCCACTTTGCACAAAATAACGAACATCCACTATTCAATTTCCTTTAGTAGACAAGTTTTTAGTTCTGTCGTTACCTTAGAAACTTGCATGCTCTGTTGTAAAAATGTTTCAAATTCGCTGCGTCGGGGGGGGGGAGGGTAATTTCGCCGTGCAAACATTCAATAACACATCAGAATCTAAGGAAGCTGGAAAACCAGTGAACACATTTCGAAACAAATCTGAGAGACTTCCAAGATAGCTAGATACAAAATACCAAAACAATTGGGCTAAAGAAGAATTAATGAATTGAAGTTATTATACAAAATTACCAACTTAAATAAAGAGAACCTACCAAGGTACTTTCTTGTTAAGAAGTCAA